TCTCTTTGGAAAGAATCTTATATCATTCCTCTTCACAAGAAAGGTGGGAAGTCTGATATACAAAATTACAGGGGCATTGCAAAACTGTCTGCTATTCCTAAATTATTTGAAAAAATAATCACTTCGAATTTGCAGCATTTCTGCAAATCAGTTGTTTCCCCTGTTCAACATGGATTCGTAAAGAATCGGTCAACTACGACCAATCTGCTAGAGTTTACTTCGTTGGTAAATGATGCTTTCCTTTCGAAAATGCAAACTGATGTCATTTACACTGACTTCAGTAAGGCGTTTGACTCTGTGAACCATGACATTTTACTTTTTAAACTTGACCGAATAGGTTTCCCTCTGTCCCTTTTACTTTGGATTAATTCTTATTTAAAAGGTAGGACCCAAAGAGTAATACTGAGGTTGACTACCTCTAAAAGGGTTCACGTTACTTCTGGTGTTCCTCAAGGTAGTCATCTTGGACCTTTACTCTTTACACTTTTTATAAATGATCTTCCCTCTGTTATATCACATGCTCGTGTACTCATGTATGCGGACGATGTCAAACTTTTTCTATCATACACCAACCCCCTACATCATTCTCGTCTACAAGACGATTTGAACGCTATGCAACTTTGGTGTTCGGCCAATCAATTGCATCTAAATTGTTCAAAGTGTATGTTTATGACTTTTAATCGTACTACACCTTATCTTGTCAGTTATACAATCGACAATATCCCTTTGCAACGTATACTAACAGTTAAGGATCTAGGCGTTATTTTTGATTCTAAACTCTGTTTCAATCTTCATATAGATACCATTGTTAATGAGGCAAAAGGTGTACTTGGATTCATTAAACGATGGTCTAAAGAGTTTAACGATCCTTTTATAACAAAACTTCTGTACATCTCTCTTGTTCGCCCTATCCTTGAATACTGCTCTTGCATCTGGTCTCCACAGTATATCAACAGCCAGGATCGTATTGAATCTGTTCAGAAGCAATTTCTGCTTTTTGCCTTACGAGGTTTAAATTGGGACCCTAATCTTCGGTTGCCGTCCTACTCCAGCAGACTGCTTCTTCTCAACCTTCCGTCGTTAATCAACCGTAGGACAATTCTCGGTGTTGTCCTTCTACATAAGTTGATTATTGGCGACATTGATTCTCCTTTTCTGCTAGGGCGTCTTCAATTCTCTGTTCCGGCTAGACCAACCAGAAATTATCGCCCCTTATTACTATCTACGTGCACAACTGATTACGCTATGCACAATTCTTTTCGCGTGCTATGTAAAAATTATAATAGTTTACATCACGTTTTCTCTACCGAACTGTCTCTACCCCTAATAAAATCGTTGCTTTCAGGATACCTTCGGGAAGTCGCTGACCATTCCCAGCTATGAGCAGGGGCATAGCTAGCCGGACAGGCTGAAAAATTTTCCCCCACCGTGTCGGCGATTTCCCATTACTTTTCTCTTTGTCCTATCCACTTAACACTCTTTATCTAACTTACATTGCTTTACTTTATTAACAATTTTCTTACTTTCTTTTTTCCTATTTATTGTATTTTCTTTATTAATATAGCAAATTAAGATTATTTTTAATTTCACTTGAGATCACTTTTTTCCTACTTACAACCTTCTGCTTAGATGTAGGCTCTAATAGCGTCACTGACAAAATTAGCTGTGAAAAGGGGCACAGCTGGCCGGACTGGCAAATAAAACACCTCCATCGGTCGGTGATGCTATTTAGAAAATTGTATCCTTTAACTAGGCTTTTAGCATATAATTATATTGTACAATTTTGAATAATGAGGAAGACACTCGTTTTGTCGACCATTAATAAATAAATAAATAAATAAATAAATAAAAAAGCTTTAATTTTGGAACCGACCCCGATTTTTATATAAAACGTGATGTAACCCCTTGCCATTTTGGCCGATTTGGGTCAAAATTTAGATTTTCTATTTTTTGATGCCAGTCGATAGTACTGATCCTTACGAGTCCAAAATGGTATAAAATTTAAAAATCGGACATTATTTGGCCGAGATATTCCAAACAATTATCAAGAAAGGTTTCACTTTACAAACGAATCGTTTTTGGAACCACGACTTTTTGTAAGCCACCAATTTTTAATTTGTTTTAATGCCAATTGATAGTACGGATCCGTACAAATTAAAAACGGCATAATATTTCAAAATCAGACGGATTTTACCCGAGATATTCAAAAAAAGTTATCAAAAAAGCTTTAATTTTCGAGCCGACCCCGATTTTGATATAAAACGTGATGTAACCCCTTGCCATTTTGGTCGATTTGGGTCAAAATTTAGATTTTCTTTTTTTTGATGCCAGTCGATAGTACTGATCCTTACGAGTCCAAAACGGTATAAAATTTAAAAATCGGACATTATTTGGCCAAGATATTCCAAACAATCATCAAGAAAGGTTTGACTTTACAAACGAATCGTTTTTGGATCCACGACTTTTTGACACCCACCGATTTTTAAGTTGCTTGAATGCCAATTATTAGTAGGGATCCGTACAAATTCAAAAAGGTATAATGTTTGAAAATCAGAGGTTATTTACCCGAGATATTCAAATAACAATCATCACAAAAGTTTAAATTTTGGAACCGACCCCGATTTTGATATAAAACGTAATGTAACCCCTTGCTATTTTGGTCGATTAGGGTCAACATTTAGATTTTCTATTTTTTGATGCCAGTCGATAGTACTGATCCTTACGAGTCCAAAATGATATAAAATTTAAAAATCGGACATTATTTGGCCGAGATATTCCAAACAATCATCAAGAAAGGTTTGACTTTACAAACGAATCGTTTTTGGATCCACGACTTTTTGTAAGCCACCAATTTTTAATTTGTTTTAATGGCAATTGATAGTACGGATCCGTACAAATTAAAAACGGCATAATATTTGAAAATCAGACGGATTTTACCCGAGATATTAAAAAAAAATTATCAATAAAGTTTTAATTTTCGAGCCGACCCCGATTTTGATAAAAAACCGTGATGTAACCCCTTGCCATTTTGGCCGATTTGGGTCAAAATTTAGATTTTCTATTTTTTGATGCCAGACGATAATACTGATCCATGCGAGTCCAAAATGGTATAAAATTTAAAAATCGGACATTATTTGGCCGAGATATTCGAAACAATCATCAAGAAAGGTTTGACTTTACAAACGAATCGTTTTTGGATCCACGACTTTTTGGCACCCACCGATTTTTAAGTTGCTTGAATGCCAATTATTAGTAGGGATCCGTACAAATTCAAAAAGGTATAATGTTTGAAAATCAGAGGTTATTTACCCGAGATATTCAAATAACAATCATCACAAAAGTTTAAATTTTGGAACCGACCCCGATTTTGATATAAAACGTGATGTAACCCCTTGCCATTTTGGTCGATTTGGGTCAAAATTTAGACTTTCTATTTTTTGATGCCAGTCGATAGTACTGATCCTTACGAGTCCAAAATGGTATAAAATTTAAAAATCGGACATTATTTGGCCGAGATAATCCAACGAATCATCAAGAATGATTGACTTTACAAACGAATCGTTTTTGGGTCCACGACTTTTTGACACCCACCGATTTTTAAGTTGCTTGAATGCCAATTATTAGTAGGGATCCGTACAAATTCAAAAAGGTATAATGTTTGAAAATCAGAGGTTATTTACCCGAGATATTCAAATAACAATCATCACAAAAGTTTAAATTTTGGAACCGACCCCGATTTTGATATAAAACGTAATGTAACCCCTTGCTATTTTGGTCGATTAGGGTCAACATTTAGATTTTCTATTTTTTGATGCCAGTCGATAGTACTGATCCTTACGAGTCCAAAATGATATAAAATTTAAAAATCGGACATTATTTGGCCGAGATATTCCAAACAATCATCAAGAAAGGTTTGACTTTACAAACGAATCGTTTTTGGATCCACGACTTTTTGTAAGCCACCAATTTTTAATTTGTTTTAATGGCAATTGATAGTACGGATCCGTACAAATTAAAAACGGCATAATATTTGAAAATCAGACGGATTTTACCCGAGATATTAAAAAAAAATTATCAATAAAGTTTTAATTTTCGAGCCGACCCCGATTTTGATAAAAAACCGTGATGTAACCCCTTGCCATTTTGGCCGATTTGGGTCAAAATTTAGATTTTCTATTTTTTGATGCCAGACGATAATACTGATCCATGCGAGTCCAAAATGGTATAAAATTTAAAAATCGGACATTATTTGGCCGAGATATTCGAAACAATCATCAAGAAAGGTTTGACTTTACAAACGAATCGTTTTTGGATCCACGACTTTTTGGCACCCACCGATTTTTAAGTTGCTTGAATGCCAATTATTAGTAGGGATCCGTACAAATTCAAAAAGGTATAATGTTTGAAAATCAGAGGTTATTTACCCGAGATATTCAAATAACAATCATCACAAAAGTTTAAATTTTGGAACCGACCCCGATTTTGATATAAAACGTGATGTAACCCCTTGCCATTTTGGTCGATTTGGGTCAAAATTTAGACTTTCTATTTTTTGATGCCAGTCGATAGTACTGATCCTTACGAGTCCAAAATGGTATAAAATTTAAAAATCGGACATTATTTGGCCGAGATAATCCAACGAATCATCAAGAATGATTGACTTTACAAACGAATCGTTTTTGGGTCCACGACTTTTTGAAGCCCACAGATTTTTATGTTGCTTGAAAGCCAATTGATAGTGGGGATCCGTACAAATTCAAAAAGGTATAATGTTTGAAAATCAGACGTTATTTACCCGAGATATTAAAAAAAAATCATCAAAAAAGCTTTAATTTTGGAACCGACCCCGATTTTGATATAAAACGTGATGTAACCCCTTGCCAAAATTTTGGTCGATTTGGGTCAAAATTTAGGTTTTTTATATTTGAAAATATTTACCTAAAAAATTAAAGAAAATCATCGAACCGAGCCTGAGTTCGAGCAAAAATATCCTATATGGACATAGATCACATTTTTTTTTGTCCTCTTGATCACTTTGGCATCTAAATCTTGCTCTGGGTCAAAATTTATGGAAAAAGGGTACTTAAAAATGCTTTTGTGTACTCACCTTAATAATCCCTATACAACTACTTGTTGTTTGCGAATTGATCACAATTAACAAATGTTCTTGTTGGTCCAGCAGATGTAATTACCCTGCTAATTAGTACTTTCCGGCACTGCCATCTCTCTTCCTCTCACATGTGATCATCTTACATTCTTTTGAACACGTAAATAAATATGAATTTGCTGCACCTTGCCGGAGCAGCTTGCAACGTCAACTGAAGTCCAACTGCAAAGCGCTGCTCCATTTATACTGTTGACTCTTCTTCTTTCAATCGTAGCTGTTGGTCCAGCAGATGTGATCACTCTTTACTCTGCCATCTCGCTTCCTCTCACATGTGGCCTGCGCTTCAAACAGGTGCTCTAATTATACTGTTGGCTCTGCTTCTTTCAATCGTGAAGCCTTAATGCCAAGAGCTCGCGGTTGAATATTTTTGTCTGATGATCTATTCTGACTCTTGCAACCGTGTAAATAAACACATACATGCACGAAATAATTAAAAATTTTGCTTAAGTCCTTCTTAATGGCAAGTCTCGGCTCGTTGATCACCAAGCAGTCAGTCAGAACATCAGAACATCGTTAGAGATGAGTAGCTCAATAATCAACCAGGTGGCCACCTGGATAAAAATCGAGTTGAGTATCATTAATTGAGTTACTTTAACTCTCTTGATTATTATTTTTTGTCCTTAAAAATACATAAATAATTGTGCTAAGCGTTAATTATGCAAATATATACATTTAGTTTTTTCTCTTTACCACGAGGTGTGCAAAGCAATAAAAATTTATCTTGCTGAGTGAGGCTATAAATGGCAGTGACCAAATTAAAGAGTACCAATCATTAATAAAAATACGTGAACTTCTTTACGCATTCAAAATTTACCACTACATGCTCATAGATAATAATAGAGGGTTATTGATTAACCATGAGCATGCGGAAATTTTCGTAATAGCGTAGTACTCTAAAGAACCTGATAACTAAGTGGACAATTAAAAGGCATTTAAATTGACATTGTTTTATTTGCTTATTTTAGTTTACCTTCCAAGCGAAGTTATATGTACTTGGGTTCCAAGTAACCCAACTTTTTTGATTCAGCTAGTAGAGAAATTATACCAACTAATGCCTCTTCGGCATTGGGTATTATGAAAGCAGGTGGTAAAACAAACCCGAAATTTCCGGTGTCACGAAACTCAATGGTATAGGATATTTTGACATCCTGTTCGTTGTATGCCCAATCGCTAGTGGTGCCTGAGGCGGGATCTAACATTTAATCGTATTATTATATTGCCGAATAACTATATGTATTTTTAAATAACTCACAGAGAATGCCAGCTGACGAACCGTATCTGTACACTGTGCCATAGGGCAGATCCTTAACTGTATCGCTATAGGCCTTGGCAACTTGCATTAGGTCATCGTAGTTCTCCGGGACCTCGTCTTTGGTATGCCCATAAGGTGATAACAAGAGTTGACTATAGGAGTGAAAGGCTATCATAATATTCAGTTTATCCTTGATGCTGGCTACAAAATCGGACAAGGCCTTTGTCTCCGGCTCCGAGAATGCATACGGCCCAGCGTAAGCCTCATTGCAGGGATCCGACGAAGCGCCGCCATTCTCCATCCAATGTGAGTCGTAGTTGCGATTCGGATCAACGCCAATGCACTGGGAAATGTTCGATGGTTGACGTGTCTTACGCCACAAACGATCCTGTGTACAAATTGGTAAAGTAAATATCTTTACTCATAATTCAATTTTACTTACTTTTTCGTGAGTGTAGACAAATCCATCTACATTTAGCACCGGCACAATATACCAGTCATGGCTTTCGGCCAGGTCCCGCACCAGATCATCGCTAGAGCTGAGTAGCTCATTGATCAACCACGTGGCCGTGGCCGAGGTTATCCATTCGCGTGCATGTATATTGGATTCGATGAAGACTCCAGGGTTTCCTGATTTGTATGAGATCTTTATGCCGCGTATGTCACGACCCTCATATGATTTTCCGATCACAAACCCTTCAGTAACAACCGGATAGACAGCGAGTATTTCATCCAGCCAAGCATCAATTTCAGCCAAGCTATTATAGCGTGTCCAACCGAATTTATCAGACGCCCTTGTATCCGCTTCATTCTCTTGATCAATCAAACTAAAAAGTAATATTAAAAATGAACAAAAAAATCCCATTTAAATCCCAAGTTCTCTTCTACTTACTCCTGCACATTTGAAATAAGGATCTCGGCACTAGCATTACTTATTTTTAATGTTTCCTCGAAAAGTGGCAATGCATTTGGCGTGACCATCAAATAACACTCCGAACTATCCTCGTGCCACAATCTGAACTATAAAAATATTGAAGTTGTTGCTCATATTTATTTAAATACTTACAAATAAATATATAAAATTTAAATACTTACACTCTGATATATTTTTGTTAAATCGAGCAGCTTTTGTCGTTGCATTGCAGTTTCGTACTTAATTTTAAAAACCTTGTAGTTATCATAGCGCACTTTTTGTTCAATTTCTGGTTTTTGAAAAAGACTTGCCGCATTGGTTGTGGCAACAAAAAAGATTACAGCACATAACGCGTATAGCCTCATGTTTGCCGTTAGGAGTTTGTTGGCCAACTGAAATATTTCTAGCAGTTCGGCTAGCAGTTGGGTAAAAAATGTCAAGCCATAAAGATTATGATTAAAGAATTTACTAATCGGTAGTACTTATTGCAATGATAACAACTTCTCAACAATTTTCATTTAATTTAATATTTATGTATACCCTGTAAATTGTTGCACTTTTAATTAATGTTATTTAATTTGAGAAGTACTTGACTTACCCGAGATATAGTAAACAGAAGTTCCAAATTTGTGGAGTTCATGATCGATCCAATTTTAGCAATTGTGATGTGACAACCTGTTACCACATTTTTTAAATTTGTTGCAAATTTAGAATATTTTTTTAATAGCCGATAGTCGTAATCCGAAAATTGTACGTTATTTCTGCGATGTATATGCATTAGTTTAAAACATAAATAAATGCTAAATAAACAATTAATAATGCACATTATTTTATTGAACATTTATTGAGCTCCACTTAAAGGGTATGATATTCATGTCTTTGCTTTGAATTCTAGCAATTTAGACAATGAACAACTGTATATTAATTTTCCTTTTTGCATCCTTCACCACAATCGGTACCTTCACAAATGTCACACAGTGAGGACTTCACATGATAGTACTCGGTGGCACGGCGATCCGTCTCGTAGTAGTCGTATAGGGAAATGGCGGCAGGCTTTTGTTTGGCTACCGAATGCGCCCGAACGCCTTCCACAGGGAAACACTTCACATCACCCGGTGTCAAACTGTCGAAGTAGACAATCACCATGGAATCCGCGTTCTTTGTTTCGATGCGCTTTACTCGATCAACGGCTTGAATTTTTTCAAAGCTATCCGTGTCGCCAACATAGCCCGAAGGCAAAGCTATTTCCATAACGACCATGTTAGAGTCCTTCTGCTGGTCGTTCATTTCGAGAGGCAAGTATTCGGCGCACACCTCCAGAGTCAGTTGCTGCAGGGGTGTATCCTTCACAGTAGGCGTCACCTTGAAGCTAGGCTTCTTATCCTTCTCAGCCAGATTATATCTGTAGGACAATTGAACCATTGACGACCCCTGACCCTTTGCAGTGAAGTTAACATTACGTGTCATCTTGGACAAAACATGGCTTTGGAGTACCAGTGAATTTTCTGGATTCACTTTAATATTGCCTTTGCTGTCATTATCCGAAACGAAGTCAATATCAATCGTACCCGTACCAGATCCGGTCTTGGAGGCAAAGTTTGTCAGGGCTTGCAGCCCGATGACTGTGTCCTGCGTGGAGGTGAAGCCGCCATTGCTGTTCCGCTGGGCAATCAGCCACTTAATTATTGGCAGCGAGGCATCTGCCGGCTCTTCATCCAACAAAGCCATCAACACATAAGAGGTTATTTCGATATCATTGCTGTTCGGACGCCAATAGGTTAAGCCACCAGCGGCAGTAAGGGGCTTTTCGGATGCCTTGGACCACCACTTGCGACCATCCTCCTGTTTTGCGACGCTCTGAAGCTTGGCCAAAATTTTCTTTGCCTGCGGATGCTTGGCTAACTGCAGGGCAACAGCCGAAATCGATAGGGAATATTGATCGTCTGTCTTGTCCACCTCTTGAGCAACGTACTGCAGAGCCTTGTCAATGGTCTCTTGATACTTTGATATGACTTCCTGCAAATCGTGGAGTTTAGTAATGTTAAGACTTTCAGACGAACAAGGCTTTACTTACTTCGTTCTCGAAGAACGCGATCAGCACGAAGGAGGTGAGTCCCAAGGCATTCTGATTGGCATTGTCAAACAACTTGCCCACCTCGGGGAACTCGCCGTTATCCTTCTGCTTAGATGCAAGGAAGTCCAGGCCCTGCACAATAACCTTGGGATCGACATCCGTGTATTTAGCGGCCTGGTGGAAGGAGCGCACAACATAGGCCGTTAACCAGGTGCTACCCGAAGGATCCGATTTGCCAAAGGCGCTGTAGGAGCCATCATCGTGCTTATAGGTAAGTTCACGCTGGTAACCGATTTCGAGGAACTTCTTTGCCTTGGCGACAACGTTGGGCATTTTTCGACCCGTCACTTCCAGATATTTGACCACCAAAATATTTGGCACAAAGTTGACCATGTTCTGCTCTCCACAGCCATAGGGCATACGTACCAAGTTATCCAAGCCCTTAATAGTGGGACCAAGCAGATCCCCAACCACCGAGAACTCTATGAATTCAGAGTCTTCAACGGCTTCGTTGGGTATAATCACCTTCAGTTCTTGACTCATTTCGGATTGGTTCTTGAGATTGACGAAAACAGCCTTATTCTCAAATTGCGTAACGCCCTCCGGTTCAACCTTCAATTTCTGATGAATCGCATCGCCCGCCAGTGGAGTTGTAGCTGTGATCTTCAAGGTGATCGATCCCACTTTCTTGGGGCGTATCATAAAGGAGACGCTCTGACCGTTGTTCGAGGGTATGGTAATGCGCTTCACGCGTTTTATTGCATCTATTGACTTCTCCTCAACCTCATTGGTAGCCTCTGTGAATTCGAACTCCTTGTCTGAATTGTCCATTGTGACCTCAGCGTCGAGCGCTTTATCCATGTAGTTGAAAACAATTACGGGAACGGCAATGACCTCTCCTGTAAAAATGATGAGAGTATTATATATCATGCTTGCGACTATTTCTGTTCGGTGCTTACCGCGCTTTACCGAATACGGAAGATTGGTGGAGACGAAGAAGGGCTGGAACACTCGAATTTTGCTTGGACTCGGGGTTAGAGCAAATCCTGTGACTGGGTTCAATGAGAAACCAGTTACTACCCACGAAGTGATGGTATCCGGCATCTTTTTGGTCAATGTGAAGCCCTCTGCGTCCGTGCTGTTTCAAGGAAATTAAATAACACAGAAAGTTCCATTCAGATATCTACTTCCGCATTTAGCACAGACATAAAGCACATAAAGGGTTAATGTGTAATCGTATTTCCTCTGTTAGCAATGAATGTTATAAATGATAAATTAACTAAACACATATGATACAAAGCATTATAATAGTATATGTGATGAATGTTAGATTTTTTTGTACTGTTGTTTAAGCGAAATATTTGTGTACGTTTTTGTTAAAATTCCTTGAAATATCCAAGTTTCCATAAATATTTCGCGTATGGCAGACAATTTTGGGTTCGTTCCCTCTTTGGAAATGTTTTCAGTATCAATTGGCTTTTGTGTGGTCTTTCGTATTTTGTTGGCACTCTGCCTTTCCCCACTGACTTTCATTATTGGTATGAAACCCGAGTCCAGTTTCTTAATATTGTTTACTTTAAAAGCAGATAAAATGTTTAATTAATACGTTAGTAATTAATTCTATTTCTGTGTAGATAATGTTAAATTTGTGTGTGTTATTTAATAGATAATTAGATGAAAGCGCAGCCCATTATACCTTTGGCGAATTATTTCAAATAATTTCTAATCAGTTTAAATGCAAAAGTTACGTTATGTTGTTTAGAAAAATCCAAGTTTCGGGGAATTCTTTGCGAATTTGAGGGGCTGCTGCGGGACCTGGAGGTACCGACCCAGAAAGTGGCGGCCGGGGCGGAGGTCCTGGACGGCCTGGAGCTCCCAGAGCCATAACCGAAACGGGGGATCCCGCGAAGGGAATCGGAAAAGGTCGCAAATAATATTGAATCAATTCTAGGTACAAATTGGTATTTTAAATCAGCAATGATAGCATATTAAAAAAAAAGGACTTTCTATTATTAAAATACAAGATATTCTGTGCTGGTTTTGCCGACCTTCCCATATTTTAAATATAGATATAAATTTATTTTTGTTAATCCGAAAATAGCCCCTTTTAATTCTACTATAAACGTTATTATAGTGCACGTATTGGGTGAAGTGTTCGGTGCGATTTTACGATATCATTAGGAATTCACTTTTCATTCATAATATAAAAAAATGTGTCACAATTACGTTATGTTTGCAGCAAATATCCAAGTTTCGGGAAATTCTTTTCGAATTTGAGGAGCAGATGCGGCAGAAGAAGTACCTAATCCGGTAATTCCTATAAATTCTGTAGGCTCTACAGTGTTGCTGTTAAGACTTGGGGGAATCTCAACCCCATGTGAAGTGAAAACCCGATTCACTGGATGTCGTAACATTCGCAATCCTAAGCACAAATAGCTCATTTTAAAAACATGCATTTCGGGCTTTTTTGAAATAAATATCCAACAAAAAATACTTAATCATTACAGGGTTTAAAATTTAGAACATATTTTAACCGACTACCATCACATCCATATAGTTTAAATAAAAGTTTCTAGAAAGTATTTATAATTGTATAGAGAAACACAGAACTGAACCTGAACCTGAAGACGAGTGTTTGACGAGAAATGATTTAAAAGGTCAGGACTGAAAGTGCAAAAATTGATTTCACAGATATGAACTGAACAACTTGCATACTTCTCGCTGTTTTCAAAAATCCAGCTTTCGGAAAACTCTTTACGTATTTGTATATTCTGGTCGGAAACGATATCAATAGGAAATTCCACGCTATCTAGTTCAAGTGCCACATGGAATATATCTGCTAAAAAAAATAAAATGATTATGTTGCCTTGAAAAAATGGCTACTCTATTAAATTGGCCAATTAAGATAGTATTTAGGCAATGTTACCTGCAACCCCCAAAAATGTGATTAATGTTAGTTTCAACGCTTATTCCATACAGATTTTAGTCTAGATATAACAGTTAGTTGTTTGCCCAAGAAAACAGTACTATGCAAGGTTTTCACAATTACGTCAGTTTGTTAAAAAATATCCAGGTTTCAGGAAATTCTTTCCGAATTTCAGGGACCACCGTAGGAGCAGCAGCTGCTCCTGCAAATCCTGCCCCAGAAAGTTTGTTGTTTATTGGCATGGGCGACCCAGCTGCCATCGAGTACAGCACAATCCCAGGTCTAAACAAAGGTAGGGCTTCGGCATAGAAAACACGACCTACATGCAATTGGTTGATTTTAGTAAAACTTAAAATAAAGATGATTTAAACTGACCGAGACAATGACAAAAGCGAAAAAGAATCTAAACTGAAGACAATAACAATTAAAAAGAAAAATCAATATCGTACTTTTTGACAATATCAAATATCCAGCTTTCCGGAAACTCTGCACGTACTTGTATCTTCTCATCAAAGGCAATTGTGTCTGCATGATTTACGTTGGCACTTAATAAATATGCCACGTAGGGGTAATCATCTGCTTAAAATATATATAACCATATAGCACTATAGTACATACTAAGGTTAGACCTCGTAGGCTGAGCGATAAAGAACTTAACCTTAGTTGACCGAATCGGGAGCATATTAATTGTGTTTGTAGGTGAAGTCGCAAACTAATTGTTACTTTGTTTAATACTTGATTAATACGTGCGCTTCATGCTTTAGGACTTTAGGCATCAAACCCACCTCAAATTGGCCGAATGCCAAATCCAAAGCTCAGCGAAATTATCGCGTACCAATTCAATTTGATGGGCTGTCGAGGAATCTATTTCATCCCTGGCAACAAAACCACCGACATCATCATCTAATTCTTCAGCTTCTTCTAGGTATATTGGATAGTTATCAAACATGCCGTCAACCGCATCGTATGAACGTGTTGCTAAAATTCGTATACCAAGAAATAAGGTCTAGCCCTAACATAAGTCTCCTCGTCTCATTACAACCTCTATTAATTGAGCTATATATTTGCTTGTTCTGCTTTTATGCCCCATTAACTTACCGAAATTATATGGATAATTGGCATTTGTGAGTGTTACCAAACCGGAAGACTGTCCTGGATACCGACCATAGCCCTGCTGCCAGGGCGTAGATGTTTTGTATTTGTTGAGGCTATTAAAGACATCATCCCGAGACAAATCATTGCCCGACTTCAGCAAAAGAACACTCTGATCCACGCCAAGTAAACCAACATACGAGTCGGCATCAGTTTTGATTTTCAGTTTGACCTCCTCGCTGGGCTTGGCATCCAGAGGAGCAGAAATCTCAATCTGTGCAAAGTAATCTTTATTGTTTTTCCGAGCAGGACGATTTCTGTTCTGTCTACATACCGAGTTCTCGAAATCCTTATCAAAATCTATTGTCCGCTCTTCGAAGCGCAGCTCGTTGTCAAAGATGTAATACACATATATCGAGGACTGTGGCACCATGGCAAAGCTGGGCGTAAACTTTACGGTGTAGCTCTTGCGACCTTCTGGTACCTGGACATGTTCGGATTTTACAATATTTCCACGGGCGACAATCGCGTAGACGAAGTACGGAATATGTTCGTTAGACTTCACATCGAAGGAAACCTCGTTGCCGAGCTTAGGACTAAAACAAAAATTACTATGTTAGATTTGTTTTAATAGAAAATCTCTTGAGAACTTACGTATTTGAATTAACTTGAATCTTAAGCGGTTCAGATGATTCGTTAGTCGGTTGAAACTTGTTTATGGAGCCCAGGTAAGAGCTGGAGTCCGCGTAGGATCCTCTGACACTCAAATAGCGATTCTCGCTTTCGGGCAGGACAACATTAAATGTAGCAATACCGTGCTCGTTTAGAGGAGCTTCGAACTCAATGGTCTCGGGTGAAGATGTAGAAGTCGGATGTTTATCGAAAACGAAAAATCTTTGCGACAAATCAAATGACAGTTTTGCCTTTTTCGTTGCATCTCGTACAGGTGAACCATCCAAATTTTTGACAACAAATTGATAGACAAACGCCTTGCCCGGATGATAATAGGGCACAGGATCGACGACCTCAAGTTTGTGGCGTTGGGCGTGCAGGGTGACAACAGTTGATGCGTTCTGTTTGTTGCCCGTCAGATCCTCGGTAACCTCGGCAAAGATCTTCAAGGGCGGCGTATAACGTGAGCTGTATTGCGAGCCTTGGATTGGGAACTCGACATGACCCTTTCCATCAATGTCGATGGTCTTCATCTGATTCACGTCGCCGTCACCGGGTCTAAAGTAGCTGTAGTTCGGTTCAATGGAGACGGTTGCCTTGCCCTTCACCGGCTTGCCGTATGTGTACTTGGCCCGAATTGTGGCCTTAATGACACCATCTTGTACGGCCACATCCTTGGCTGATTCCACAATTACCTCGAATTTTGGCAGCACATATTTGGCCACCTCAAAGGACTTGGATTCCGCAGTCTCACCCGCCACATCGACAGCAATGCTCCACATGCCCAGCACCGGCTGCTCCGACAGCTGCAGCTCTCCGGCGTACACGCCCTTGGTCAACTGAACGTTCGTCAATTGCTTGATGCGATTCTGGGCTCCGTCCGTGATTGCAATCGTAATCGGCTTGTCGATGGTCGCAGGTCGTGTGTTCTCATCCAGAAATAGAACTCGGAACTGCACTAGATCCGACGGCTTATAGGTTGCCTTATCGGATTGTATAAATATTGATGGCTTGTTATCGGCATAGTTCAACTTGGTGGAATTTTGGAAGATAACGCCCTCAATTCCGGCTGCTGTCAAATTGTAATCTCCATTCACCAACTTTGGCACATCGAACTTAACGTTCGTCGTCGACATGGGCTGCAGCTCCACCTGCTTTGTTTCATTATAGGATGGTCCAGTTATGCCCACCTTTATGATGCTCTTCCCCTCGGCCTTGTGCACGGATACGGCCACATTATATTTAAAATTTGAGCGTATGGTGCCAGGTCCAATTACCGTGTACAGACTGAAAAATTTACATTTATTCATTAAAACTATAAATAATTCGTTTATATTTTATACTTTACACATATACAAAGTGATTATAGTAAATAAGTAATTAACTTTTTTTTTGTCGATAATTATCTCTCACTCTATGCCAATCAGAAACGAGAAATAAGAGTTGTCTTCGGCCCGCCGAGTCAACCTTTTCATAATGCTTTTCAGAAGCACAGTGAAAATAGTTAATGCCGATTATGGTTAAGATATCTTGAAAAACAGAAAGTTTTTCATGCAAGAAACTACTATGTCAGCTATATGATTTAGTAGTCTAATGTAAATAAGATCTTAAATAAATGTAGTGAAACCTTTAAATGGCAAGTTTGGTCAAGATATCTTGTCGTTCAGCAGCTATATGATATAGTAGTCCGATGTTGATAGGATTTGGAAATTAAATAAGGAGCATAGTAAAACTAGTAAATGCCGAGTTTTGGTCAAGAAAAGAACCTACTTTTCGACCGATCGCTCCTATGGCAGCTATATGATATAGTGGTCCGATACAGCCGGTTCTGACAGAAAGAAGCACTTCTGCAAAGTTGCATAAAGGTAGCTTTAAAACTGAGAGACTTGTTCGCATAGAAACAAACAGACAGACAAGGCTATGTCGAGTCGGCTGTTAATACTGATCAAGAATGTATATACTTTATGAAGTCGGAGATGTTTTCCTCTATGCGTAACGTATTTCACGACAAAATTATAATACCCTCTGCAAGGGTAGAGATGCAGAGAATCTAAACCTCGCTCGCTTTCAATCAAGCATATTGAAGACATTTTTTTTTTGTGTTGCTTCATTTTTTTTCTGCTTAAACATGTCAGAAGATAACGTAATGAGAAAGGTCTCGCTATGGAAAGTGTGCACACGCTTTATCTTTGACGCCTATGAAACCGGTTTTAAATATACAATCATTAACATAGATAATCTCTCAGGAATATTTCTTCGAAAGCACTTTGCAGTGTATAAACATATAAATAGATAAAAGTTCAGCACCTCTTAAATAATCAATAATATAAATAATAATAAATAGCCCAACGTAGCTTAGGTTTAGCCTGGGTTTTGTACATATTACTTACCCAGTGGCATGTACGAGTAGTCCCAATTGAAATACACAAAAATAAAAAACCAAAATTCGCGACATAATCGCGTATTTTGTTTTTTTGTTTCTCGGCGAATTCAGTTGAAATGGGGTCCGGGAAACTACGGTTAGGGAATCTCTGCTGGTGCTTAAACAATTATAATTTAATGATGTACTATATATTCTTTATAGAATAGTGCTGTTGCACATGATTCACAGTAATTATTGTTTTTCGTTTTTTGTTCCCTATCAGCACACAATACACAGAAAAAAGTACAGCAAAACAAAGCCCAGCTTCAATTTGTTTAAGCGATCGCAACAAACGTTTCGAAGTGAATCGGATGCCGCTCGGATCCACACTGAGCTCGCTCTGATGCGCAGCGGCTCTTAAGTATGATTTTGAGTGTTTCACCAACTCGGGCTATTGTTGTGTGTATGTATATGTATATATGTACGTACAAAATGTACAGTGCGTGCTGAAAAATTTACCGCTGTTTGGGATATATCTGTAAAATATCGACATTTCTTTTACCAACGTCGCATATGTCACAGCTGAGACTTTTTTCTGCGTGTTTGTTTGTTTGAGTTGGGCTCATTTGAAGCGGACAGCTTTGCAAAGCAAAAATCTACAAAATCTCAGTGTTTGACGCAAATAAACAGATTAGTACCTACGAAAAATAGAATTAATTAATCACATTATTAAATGGTTTACCGCAGAACAATTTTTCGTGTGAATTGTAGTAACTAAATACGTATTCAAACAGCAGTACAAATAATACATATAATAATAATAGTAATAAATAATAATAATAATAATAATAATTATACTAGAAAATAGACAGATTGTTTGTAAACAGGCAACGTTTGACAAAATATAAAAAGGTTTTAAAGTCAACGCCCACTTAGCACCACTAAGCGGAGACAACCACCATTGTCGAAAAGCTTTTCCCTTGTAAATCAATGGAAACAAGCTATAAATTCAGCAATGTTTGCTGTCTCGTTCTAGCTTATTGGCGATTGCGCGTAACGCAATCTGTTTTTAACAGTATCAGACCGAGTGAAATAACTCTTTCTTAAAGGACGTACAAATGTTCCGCGAATTTAAAAGCTATGGCAGAATTAAATACTTATGTTCCTTGTTACATCTGAGTACACACAAATACAGATAAGCAATTAACTAATTATAATATGTATAATGATAGTTTTGGTTTCTTTATTAAAAATATTCTACTGGGTTGTTGTGTCTGTTTGTATATGCGTGTGTATTTGTATTATACAATTAAACAACTAAGAATGTACATACATAATTTGTTATTTAATTGTTTTGCCCAATAGACAATTACAATGTTTATAAATTTTGCTCCTCAGAGGATGCTTAATATGTGGCCACAGCTTGCAGTTAATATTAATTTAGATTTGCTTTTTATTTCTACATGTATCACAAATTATGTATAAATGATTGGGGCAAAATAATCCAAGAACTTTTTCCCAATTTATCGGATAGGTCTTTGGCTTTCCATAACTTTAGGTTGGGGCTCGAATAGGATGTAAAATTAATATTGCATTTCTTTTGGCGATATTTTACATTAAAACTAAACATTTACTTAATTTCAAAGATGATGTGATAACACATACGTTTTTAAATTACAAATATTTTATTGAAGATTAATCGTAAAATTTGTGATAATAATAATAATTGCTTCATATCACCAGTTTGCCTGGACACAATCGAATTCCGTTCCCGTTTCTACGATTTTTCGTCATATTTGTAGATTCAAAATGTTTAATTGCAGTGTTCTGTATCACAAAGTTCATACTATATTATTTGATTTGGGCTCTAAGCGCGTTCCATTTTATACGGTTGAACTCTTACTAAAGACAAATTGGTGAGCGGGGCTTAAGTTAAAAGCTAAAATGTTGTCAAGAGGTGGATTTGATTTACGAAAGCCTTTAACATGGGGACGGAACGATCAATATAACGTTGGGTTTTTCTTTTGGGCTAACAAAATTGAGTAAAGCAGAAGTTTTGCGGAAAGTACACAACAATATAGCTACTTGACGACTTTTCTACAATTTGTTTATAATTTTTTCAACCTATTTAAGTTCAGACTCTTATGCTTGGTCACAAGATTTATACGTTAGGGATCATATTGGTTGGCGTCGAACGTGCCTATTCATGCTTGCCTATTTATAAATGTACAACTTTATGGGAATTGCGATTTGAGTGAGTGTACTCTACATATTTCGTACATGGAACAGCTACAATCCGTGTCTGATAATATCCCCTTGTTATACAGAGTATTTATTCTATAGCAAATAAACGTGAAACGAAAATTCGAAGCACCATTAAACTACGCCTATCTACAGTACTTGAAATCTAATATAATTCCAATTGCGCGTCCTCTATTTACATTGGTTAGATGGAAAGGAAAGTCCTTCTCCTTAGCGTATCATATGCAGCTTCCAGCGGAGCACAAAGTAGGCAATAATACGCAGTGCGAAAAAGATTCCTATCAGAGCTACCGCATCGACCCAGAAGCGTGCATCCTCCATTGACATCCACTCGAGGAACTTCTTGGGAACGCGATGGTGACAGTATATCTCGTTGCAATGCAATTTGGCGCGATCCATGCCGTAAATGGAAACCATGGCGCCTAAAAAGCGAATTACATATTAGTCGACTTTATAATTAAAATGTTAAGTGTGGAACTTACCCTCAAAGCCGTAGCGCACGTAGCTAACATACGTGACCCACTGTAAATAGGCCGGTATAGTGTCAAAGTTGACGAAGAAGCCCGAGAACAGAATGGTTGGTATCGTCGTGACGGGTCCAAGAAAAACACCCGACTCGACATTCATTCCGGCACCAATGAGGAGTCCCAGAGACTGAGCCACGAGAGAGTTAAGCACGCAGATGAACACAAACATCGAGATGCGTTCCAGTTCCATCGGCTGAGAGGTTAGATAGTAAACAACCAGCACAAAAACGCTAGAGAAGACAATCTGAGGAGATTGGGCGTTAGATGTGCGTTAATATTTGCAAGTAAGATACCGAACCAAGTTCTTACCTGAAAGGGAATGTCGGCGATGGTCTTGGCAAAGTAGAACGCCTTGAGTGAGTACCAATAGTTGAGATGTTCCCGTACGAACACTGACATCTCTGTGGGAACTGTGTGGGATTATAATATTGTTGTATACTTGTTAAATTCAATTTTAAAATTCAGCCCTTACATGTTAAAATGGTGGGCATCATGGCCGTGAACGTGGTGAACAGAGAGACAAAGAAGATGCAGCCCGCATTGCTCATAATCTTGCTGGCCTCGTTCCCCACATCGTAGTAGATCATCCCGATGATCGCACCCACAATAATATGCGAAGCCAGCCGCATATGGGTCAGCATACGATCCCTCATAATTGTCCGAAACGAACGTTTTAGCAGTATCCAAAACTGCGTCCAGCCGCTGGTGGGGAAGCCTGTCTTGTTGGGCAGCGTGACGACACTTTCGTGCGAGTCCAGCAACGAGGTCATGCAGCCGACTACGGCATTTGTGCCGCCTGATACGGCATTTTGGCTTTGGCCACCTTTCGACGAACTGAAGCTGCAGCTGTCCTCGTTCGTTATGGGCATGTTAACAGCGCTGCATTCGGAGTTCTGTGATTGCTGTGCCTCCAGCTTTGGTGGTTTCAGCTCAGCTGGCTCGTCCGCGTCCGCATAGCTTATAGGTTCCAGTGTAATTGGCGACTTTTCATCCTCCAGCCGGATCGTCGCAACAGCCGTCGATGCTTCCGTGCTATTGGCGTTGCAATTGTCAAAGCCGCTGCCACTGCCCTTGATAATGTCGTTGGCTATGCCCTTGGCGTTGGCTAGATTGAGCCCATAGTCCTTGTGCATGTACTTCTTGCACGTGCCGCTTTTGACGGCCTCGACCAGCTTGGGTACTGCCTCGCCGTACTCTCCGGAAGCGACCTCGAGCACATAGTCAGCGGGATTGTGGTACGAGGGGCATTCATAGCCGAGGGATGAAAGGTACGGCACCAGGCCATGTACGCGACCCTCGTACACGCACTGACCCTGGGCCAGCAGGTAGAGATGATCGAATTTCTCGAAGAGACGCGCTGACGGCTGGTGTATAGTGCAGACTATGGTGCGACCTCCACGCGCCAGCGATTTCAGCAGGGAAATCAACTGAAAGCAGGTGGAGCTGTCCAGGCCGGAGGTTGGCTCGTCGAAGAACATGACCGGCGGATTGTTTACCAGCTCTAGGGCTATGGACAAGCGTTTCCGCTGTCCGCCCGAAAGATTACAGGTAAACGTGTCGGCCGATTCTTTCAGTCCAATGGTATCCAATATTTCCTCGACAACGACGCACTTGGCATACTTGATCATGTTCTTGCCAAGCTTAAGATTGGCGGCTACCATCATGGCCTCACGCACGGTCAGGTTGGCAATCAGGACATCGTCTTGCATTATGTAACAGGAAAGCTTACGGAACCGCCGAAGATTTCGCTCCTTGCTGTTGATCAGCACTGATCCGCTTAGCTGAGAGGTTCTGCAAAGAAAAAAATTGATTAACCCCCAATTTAATTTTAAGCTGAATCAAGAAACTTACTTGTAGCCAGCCAAGATGTTCATCAGTGTGCTTTTGCCTGCTCCGGAGGGTCCCATTATGGCCGTTATTTGTCCATTGCGAAACTTGCCCGAAACGCTCTTCAGGATGGTCTTAAAACCACGTATATGTCCCTCTGCCACCGAGTAGGAGATATCACAGAACTCGATGTCCACGGGCGGACGCTGCGGCAGATGCGACAGCGAGATGGTGCCTTTCTTCTGCCCGTTCGGGCTGTTGCTGTGGTTTTGTATTTTGGGTGCCAGCCCGTAACTGTTGTGGCTGTTCGCGTTGATCCGGCCATTACACAAGTTGTTCTGGGAGCTGCAAAGAAGTCGTTGAACTAATAAATAACTTGCTAAGCGGCAGGCAATTAATTAGGAGAGTAGCCTACTTGACCACGACTGGCTTCTGCCAGCATGGAGCACCGTCTTCGGGCCGCTGCAGCGCGCTCACACACCCGTTCTTCGTCAGCTTTGTCTGGACAAAGGACAGCGAACGCCTGCACCTGGCCACATCCGTATAGGCCTCCATGTAGGCGGATCGCCTGCATGGCAAATGCTGCACAGTTGCCTCGAAGCTGGTGTTCTGAATGCCATCCACTTGGACGGGATGTAGCTGCGCATTGCTGTCCGGGCTGCTGCTGCAGTTGATTAATGTCAGCTCCAAGCTGTTTGGCATGCTTGCTTATTTTTCTTTTTTTTTTTTACTCTACACTATCAGCTGTCATCTGGCGGGACATCATGAATTACGCTTTTACATTTATCAATAGCCAGTCGACGGGCCAAATAACCAATTGCTAATAGTCAATAGTCAATCGTCAGTCAACCGTAATCACGATTTGTGCCTGCGCTCCAAGAGCTCGTTCGTAGAGCTTGTAAAGAGCAAAGTTCAATTTGCGTTTCATTCATAAAATGCCGTGTGTGATGCCCTCGTTGATTGGTCTGCTATTGATAAAATATGCCGACTGGCTGCACGAAATTCTTTTGCCAAAGCTGCCAATATCAATTAAAACACACCGTTTTTGGTGCAAACTACTTATTGCAACCAGTTCAGCGCAGCTAATTGATGATGGATGATGGTTGATAAACTAATATACAATTTATATAAACTGTGGCCAACGAATTCTAGCTGATGCTAGAAGAAATAAACAATTAACCCTGCAGCCAGTTGCATTTGTGGTTGGTGTGCGTTGTGGTTCAAAGTTCATATTTAAAGTATACATTTGTCGAATGTGCTGTGTATTTTTGTGGCCGTCGTTGTTTATTTATGTTGATTCACGCAGAGCACGTACACTCAAACAAAGCACATGAGACTGCTGAGGAACATGCACTCAAAAAAAAGGGAGCTACTTTTAGTCGATTTCCTCTTACAAAATGAATAGAGGGAGCCTGAATTTTTACAATTTAATTCCGACAAACATATTTGACTACGATTTTGGCATATGTCTTTTGCCATATCAAATACGCCAACCGACAAACAATTGTCAATCGGTTGCCCGCGAAAGGGCCAATCAGCTGCTGTCCCAAATGGTCAACAGCTGCTATTGAGGTGCACATATTTTATCCAAAGCAACGACAACAATTACAACAACAAGCAAACACCGCGACAACGTCATCAACTTGCGTTTGTGTTAGTAGAACTCGATTTGTTTATAGTTTGCGGCTACGTTGCTTTTAGATACGATAAATACGAGTTTCTGCCGCTGCCCGCCCCACTTGCCCGCTTCCGCTTCCCCACTTCCGACAGCGAACACATTGCCTTCTCGCAATCGCCAATCGTTTCGCGCGAATTTCTCGGTGCGCGCGCACCCACCGACTGGCCTGGGCTGGGTACATTTTAGGTGCGCGTGTACTCGCTTGCACCGAGAGAGACGACTTCGCAGCGCATGTCGATGCTAACGAACCCGACCAACAACAGTTTCTGGCTTACATTTATACAAAATACCCCCATCAACCAGATAAATACCAAGAAAATGGATATATTGTCTTTATACCCTTGCAAGGCTTATAGTGTTGTCTCGAAATGTGTAGCGCATAGAAGAAGTCATCTTCATGGACCCCATTAAGTTTATATATTCTTATCAAAATCCTATCAACATCCAGACACTCTATCATATAGCTGCCATAAAAACGATCGGTCGAAATTTAAGTTGTTGTATAAAAAACTTTTTTGTTTTCCAAGATGTCTTAACCAAACTTGGCATTTATAAGTTCCATTATGTTTTCTACATTTATGCAAAATATTATTTACATCGGACCACCATAACATATAGCTGCAATAGGAACGATCAGTCGCAAATTAGGTTGTTGTATGGAAAACTTGTTTGTTTATCAAGATATCTAAGCCAAACTCAGCATTAATTAGTTTTTCTATATTTGCTACATTTATACAAAATATATACATATACCATATAGCTGCCATGGGAACGATCAGTCGCTAACTTAGGTTGTTGTATGGAAAACGGGTTTGTTTATCAACATATCTTAAACAAACTCAGCATTAATTATATTCATTACCCTCCTCATACATCAAAATAGGACCACTATATTATATAGCTGCCACAGGAACGATCAGTCGGAAATAAGTTTCTTGTATGAAGAACCTTTTCAAGATATCTTAAACTTACTCGGCATTAACTATTTTCTCCGTACTTTTTAGATACGAGCAAAGCATTAGGAAAAGGTTCGGTCTGATAGGGTATTAAATCTTCGTCGTGTCGAAGTTAGCCCTTGTTTCTCGTTGTTATACGCTTCGCTTGTGATTTCAGCACGCTTATTAAGAATCGAAGAATTCCTCAAAGCTTTAACAAAAGAAACTGCTTATCAATACCAATGTCTTGTAATTACGGGTAATTTTAACTGCAATAATATTGATTGATTAGAGGGCCATAACTCAGCAGCTACTGTTCCTCATAGAAACTAGTTACAATTGAGCTTTGCCCAAGCTATAAATGCGCCTGGTTAGATGTGTTACATTGTTGTTTTGCACTGATAAAAGTTAACCGGAAATATCAGATGGCACGAAGTATTAGATCATCAACGGTTTGAGGCAATTAGGCTTTTAATAGCAGCAATAACTGAGTAACTAAGCTGTTTCCTTATTTAAATGTAGGCTCATATATTCATATATCAAGGCATAACTGGGGACTGTGTGTGTGCTCAGGTTGGAACTTGGAACTGGGGCGACAAATTAAAACTCACAGCTCAAATGGGCGAATACCCGAAATGCCCCCAATGACAACATAAGTAACCGATAACTGCGACGAGTTCAGTGGATGATAACACTTCTCCGATAGACCTATATCAATAAAGCTAGCCGAGGTGAATATCCTGCAAGCTTTTATTTAGCGTTGACAAGACCTAAGAGAACCAAATAAACACTTGACGGTCAGTATTCAAGGAGCAGATGGTTCAGAAATAGTCCGGATTCGCGCTGTGCTGTTCTCGCTGACCTCGATGTGTGGGAAAGGTCACAATATGTCTGGAGTGTACGCCAATGCCAACTGGGTAAGGAACGTCTCGGCGGGTTTACAGGCTGACAACTGCGGAGCCCAGCTGTCTGTTAGTTTTTTTTTTTTTTTTTTTTTTGTATTACTTTGTGTCCCACGTCATATATTCCGTTTGAACTAAGTTGCATAATCCTCGCACACTTCGCGCAATTTTCACCTCCCGTATGTTACCCGATTTAGAGCCGACGCGCCACGACATCGTTTAGCTGGCACATTTTATTGTGGGAACATTTTGAAATATATGCACACAAATAATTAAAGCCCAAATTACAACACTCAATAAATAAACACCAAAAAGCCGCCGTAAGATGACTGCAGCGACCCGAAACAAACTGAACTCAACTCAACTCGGTTGAGCTGACTACGGCAAAAGTTTAGACGGCTTGTTCGATTTTTCCAAGCACACGGCGCCGTCGTCGGCTGCGACTTGGCTATTGTATCGAAAATGTTTGGCCAACTGTTCATATGCCCTTTCCTCTGCAAGTGAGTATGCCAATTGTTCAAAAATGCTTGTCGTGACTGTTGAATCAAAACAATTGCTGTTGTGCATTAATATTAGTAGAGTATTCTAGCGTCGTTATGGCCAGTGTGATCCTGTGCCTTTTCTTACGCTTCGCTTTGCTATTCGGCCTGACGAGTTGGCTATAGTATCGAAAATGCTTGGCTAACTGTTTATATACTCTTTCCTCTGCAAGAGAGTATGCTAATTGTTCAACAATGTTTGTCGTGACAGTTGAAGACAACATTTAAGCTTTAAGTTAGAGCATTCCTGCGTCGCTATGGCGAGTGTTGATCTATGTATTTTTATCTGTTTCGCTTTGCTCTTGTTCCTCACAATGGCTGGCCCTCTCTTGGCTGTTGTCGGCGCTTTATTCACCGTTACGTATACGCTGCCCACACGCCATGAATGTGTCTGTAGCATTGCCAACAATATGAACTAGCATATACAAGTACTTTAAGGGTGAAAAGGATGTGGCAGGAATTTTAAACGTTTTTTATGACTTTCAACTTGTGTCTGCCCGGCTTCTGCTTGAAAATACGTAAGAGTGCAGCTCTGCAGCTAGCTGCAGGACCTGCCAGAAAGGGACTTTTTAATTACATTCATTGTGGGCGTTCTTTGCACGTGGGCGTGTGAATGTTCTATTTTAAAATTTAATCATGGCGCGTCTAGGTAGCCCGCATAATTTAAGGTCAAAACAGCTGGCTACTGAACAAAAGTAAGTAAACATTTTTTTCTTCCTTTACCTATTGCTATTAGCTGCGGCGACACTTGGGAAAAAAATCCCCATATGTATCAGGCGTGAAAAATCAAAATCATTTGACAATTGTCACACCATTCGTCCTTGGTATAAATATAGGTTAAGGATTTGTTGGGTGACCTTATGTGCCAAAATTCATTTTTAAAGATCTGTATGAGAAATCATTTGAAACGTGCTTTTCAATTTTTTTTCTCAGAATCCAAGCTTCCTATGTGGAAATGCATTTTGAAGACTTTTAACACGAAGAACTAATCTAATAACTAACTAGTAAGTGCTTCAGCAATTCTGAAAAGTCCACCCGCAACTGTGGTGAATTGATTGATTGATAAATTCGGATAATTGATTATAAGGGCGAATTTAAAGACTGCTTCAACATATTTTCAAGGCACACCATAAGAACATAAAAATATTTTATATATTACTTCCATCAACAACTGCGGAAATGTGGCGGAAAAATTTGCAACTTTTTGTTTACCTTTGGATCATTTTCAAAAATCTTGTTGAAAACCTTGTATTTGATATGTTTCATTGCAAAGAACACTGCTCTAGGGCATACAAACGTGGTATCAAGCCTTTAAACTGAAGCCGAACTGGTTATTAAGAACCAAGCCTTACACCAGTTATTAAAGAGCTTAATCAATAGAAAATCAATCAATATTTATATATATTGTATTTGTGTGAAATGCAAAGTATGTAACAGGCAGAAAGAAGCATCTCCGACTCCATTAGGTATATATATTCTCGATCAGCATCAATAGCCGACTCGATCTAGCCATGTCCGTCTGTCTGTCCGTCTGTCCGTATGTATGAACGCAAGGATATCAGAACCTTTAAGAGCTAAAGACTTGAAATTTAGCTGTAGGATCGATAACTTGACCTGTTTCCAAGTAAGTAGAAATTCTACTTACTTATTTCTAAAATTGTTTAGTCAAAGAAAAACACTTTTAAGAAGCTCTACTAAAAGACATTATTATCTTGTTACCCAACCTTTGGACTTATATATAAAATTTATAGATGCTAATTTGTGGAAAAGATCAAATTAAGCTAGCTTCTATCTGAAAGTATCCACGACTAGCAATTGCTTTGGGGTTGCAGATTTTTTAACATTTTTTTATATATTACCTTCGAGAAAGTACTCTTATTTTACGTTTAAAGTGAATGTTATTCAGCTGCGCATAAGTTAAATGAGCTGTCAGTAGACGGTACTTCAACATTTTGCGGGTCGGCACGCGATTTTTGCAGCTCCTTGGAAATGAGCTCAAGCCAAGAACGAATGAAAAAATTCGCATATATATATATATACATATATATATATATATATATATATATATATATATATATATATATATATAAAGTTTGTACATATTTTGTACTATATTACATGTTGTCTGTTGATTTTTCACAGCTGCTTACAAGTTACGTTGAAGGTGCGTCGCATCAAGGAAGGTACAATACATTAGTTCCGTCGAATGTTCTATTATTAATGCGTCTGCTACTAGCAACACCTGGATATAAACTTGGCTCGACAGCCATTTGATTCATTGAGCAGCCGGACAAAGCCAACTTTGAAGTCACCTAACGTGATTTGGCCGAGTATCCGTATAGCCTATGCAGAAGACTATGACTTAATGAGCAGCCCGCGCCCTCGAAAAGCCCAAACACGCCCTGATTATGCCAGCCTATTTGGGTCATTCAAATCGAGGCTCCTTTTCACGAAAATATCCCATTTCCCACCACAATTATAATCTATGCTAATCTCATTAGTTGTCAGCCCACCTCAGAATTTAAGTGATGAAATATCTGCCCCAAGCTACTCACCCATAGACGGCATTGCACTGCTTCAAGTCGTTGGTCTTCTGCAAGGGCAGCGCCTGCAGCTGATTCAATGGGGGAGCCGAAGGCTCAGCGCCTGATCCTTGCAGGCAGGTTGGGAGCACAGCAGTTAGGCCTCCTCCTTCCGCTGTGGTTGTTGTTGTGCTGCTGTTATTGCTGGTTTTGTAGTGCACGGCACTGATAGGTGACATTGTCTGGGCGGGCAGTATGACGGCGCAGCTGCCATTTTCTTTGTCCACGAGTGGAGCACTTGAGGCATGTAACTCATCCATTTCCTAGACGGTTATGAGTATCTGGCTAAATTGTAAATTTCATATAGTTGCAATTGGCATCAGGTTGTGTCAGTCACCATTGGCCACTTATCATTAATATTAATATTATTTTTTTTTAATTCAATTTATAATGTTTTTTTGTTGCCTGTCCTATTTTACAGGATATATTATGCGTCTACAGGT